TTCAGAATATTACACAAAATTGAAGAGACTATGGGATGAATAGATTTTTTTAATGCCTATACCTGAATGCACTTGTGATTCAGCTAAGTCAGTATCAGAAATGACTTCATTTAATAGACTGATGCAGTTCCTCATGGGACTGAATGATGAATTTGAACATACTCGAAGTCAGATCTTAGTTATAGATCCTTTACCACCAGTAAATAAAGCCTATTCTATGATCCAAAGAGTGGAAAAACAGAGAGAGATTCAAATATCCTATGGTAGAGGATATGGTAGAAAATTCGATATGAGCAAGGAAGAGAAGAGGAATCAATTTTGCACAAATTGTAATACTTCAGGACATAGTAGAGACTGTTGTTTTAAATTGATTGGATATCCTGACTAATTCAAACAACTCAGTGAGCAGAAAAGGAAATCTGGAGGAAAATTTTCTGCAAATATGGCAGATTCACCACTTGAGATAGGATGTGAAGCAAATACTAGAGGATTTGAAGATCAATTTAAGAACATAAATATTTCTGAAATTGTCAAAAAGGAACTCAGGAAGATGGTGAATGGAAAGGGAACCAGCATTGGCACTGGAAGCAGTGTAAACTTTGCTCACATAGACGATTTTGCAGGTTCATCTCTTAAACTTGAATTTAATTCTGCTCTGAGTGCTTCCAGCTTAATAGGATCTAACTCATGGATTGTTGATACTGGAGCCTCTAATCACATGTGCAATGACATTTCATATTTGCAAAATCCTATACCTGCTGACAAAACAATTCCTGTTTTCCTACCTGATGGTACTACAAACTTCGTTAAACATCTTGGCAGCGTTCATTTACATGATAACCTCATACTCACTGATGCTCTTCACATTCCTACCTTCCGATTCAATCTATTGTCAGTGAGTAANAGTCAAAGGAAGTCATAATTATCCTAGTAAATCATCCTATTCTCAGTTCAGAGATCTATCTCCAAGTAAAAAGGCTAGTACTAATTCCTTTGCAAATGTTAACCGTGGTGGTGACACAAACATGTTTTAAGAAGGTGGTAGGTCTTGTGAAAGCATTATATGGGTTTAGGATATAGAATCTGTGATTGGTACTGTCCGAATTATACACAACTAATCCTCAAGGACCTAATTGATCATCTTACATTACTTTAGGTCCTTCTTTGTAATAAAGATAGTTTGTTTAGTTCGTTTTTCATTTTTCCCTCTTTTCCTTTCTATCTATAAATAGACACTATCGCTGTATTTCAATTGTTGAATTGATTGAGTATAATAAACAAAATTGTTGATTCCATCTGTTTGAACATGGTATCAGAGCACTTAGGTGCTGGAATTTTAGAACTGCAAGCTACGAATTAGCTGAAGAAGGAGGAGTTTGAGCTCGAGATTGAGCTGCAATGGCCGGAAATCGAAATATAGATTTTCTTCCTGCAGAACTCAGGTACGACTAGACGAATCAAGGTAATGGAAGGCAAATCGAAATGAATGCTGCAGATCCGTTGTTCCTACATAGCTCAGATCATCCAGAAATGATGTTAGTCACAGTGCCTTTGACTGGGAAGAATTTTTTGGCGTGGAGTAGATCTATTAAAATAGCCCTTGGAGCTAAAATGAAGTTAGGTTTTATCGATGGAAGTGTTGAAATACCTGAGAAGGCCTCACCGAACTATGAAAAATGGTTGAGAGTGAATTATATGATCACTTCGTGGTTACTGAACTCAATTTCAAAAGAGATTGTTGAAGCTTTTTTATATACCAACTCTGCTAGAGAGTTATGGATGGAGATTGAAGAGAGATTTAGAACTTGTAATGATCATATGTTATATCAGATCCAGCGAGAAATCAGTTCTATATCCCAAGGTAATATGTCTATTTCAGAATATTACACAAAATTGAAGAGACTATGGGATGAATTGATTTTTTTAATGCCTATACCTGAATGCACTTGTGATTCAGCTAAGTCAGTATCAGAAATGACTTCATTTAATAGACTGATGCAGTTCCTCATGGGACTGAATGATGAATTTGAACATACTCGAAGTAAGATCTTAGTTGTGGATCCTTTACCACCAGTAATAAAGCCTATTCTATGATCCAAAGAGTGGAAAAACGGAGAGAGATTCAGATATCCTATGGAGAACATAATGAAGTCAGTGCTATGAATGTAAAAATTCAGGGGTATAAAAAGATTGGAGGAGGTAGAGGATATGGTAGAAAATTCGATATGAGCAAGGAAGAGAAGAGGAATCAATTTTGCACAAATTGTAATACTTCGGGACATAGTAGAGACTGTTGTTTTAAATTGATTGGATATCTTGACTGGTTCAAACAACTCAGTGAGCAGAAAA